TTTATATTTGTTGCTTTCATCAAGTGATACAGATGCATTATCCAGGTCTAGGGAATGGAAGAATATATAACTTAAGATTGTAGCTATACATTAGTTCAGGCTGTGCAAGTTGATTTCATGGGAAACCCAAGGCCAGTAAAGATGAGTATTACATTGTTCTCACTCCCTCCCTCCCCCTCTCTCTAATTTTGAAAAACACGTTATCCAGTCATTTTCTTTGCAACCAAAACTCTGGAGATTCAAAATTAACATACTTGCTCGTGAGCTTCTTAAACACACCAGAGGAAGCTTGTCTGCCATGTTGTTCTGCTGAACTTGATCTGAATGAACCTGTACAGGCCAGTTGCCATCCAGCTCCACATGGATCCTCTTACCCACAATTCACTTGGGAAGACCCAGTCCCTAAGGATGGTGTCATGAACTGCTGTCAGTGTGTGGCTTCTGGGAATGTTTGCTTATTTTCTGTATGGCTTTTTGAGCTGGCTTCGGCAGGCCGCTCCTCTGAGCTGTGAAGACAATGTGTTTTCCGCTAAACCTTTTCTCCAATTCACAAGCTCGCCTGGCTTGGATTTTCTGGGATTTCAGCTAAGGAACTGGCATAAAAATTAGGGTAGCTTTCTGACCACCACCAACTTCGATAATGTTGGTGAGGTTGAGTTCTGCCATCTGCATCCTGAGATCTGAGTTCATCTCCAGCTTGGGCAGCAGCTGAGAGATGTCAGGCTCTTCACAGTCTTGGTGCTTGAGCTGAACATAGCCTCGTCCTTAGGGAGTGCTGGCTTAGAAACACACTGTTCTCTCAACGGCAGGTGAAGCAGTTTGAGTACACAGTAGAATGGCGGTCTTAAGTGACCTTGAGGTACATTATTAACTCTGACTGTGAGGCCCAGCATAAGTTCCAATATCTTAGAAAGTAAGAGATCTTCTCATAGTATATCACTACACAGCCCAAGCTTAATGGATACTGGACAGAATCCTTGCATCTACCATATCTTGTTATATTTCTTTTTTCTCAATAAATACTCCCATATTAATTTTCACATATAATTTTGAATATTGCATTAATAGTTCTTAATTTCATAGGGAGTGATTACGAGCAAAATCCAGTGATAAACATGTATGAAAATGTCATCAGCTGATTAACCTTGCAGGCTAAGTAAATATTAGAGTCCAAAAATAAGTGTCTGGTTATTAATAAACAACACAGTTCTCTCTTCTCGATTATGATGAAAATACAGATTTATAAAGCTTTTGGGGTTTGTTTGCAGTGTGTGTGCACATAAGCATATGTGGAAGCATGTGCAGGCGTGTGCATATGCAGGCGTGTGCATGTGCACAGATGCCAGAAGCTCAGGGCAGGTGTTTTCTCCCAACACTTCCCACTTTGTATTTTAAGGCAGGGTGTCTCCTGCTGAATCTGGAGCTCACAATCCAGCTAGTTAGGCCAGGCATCTGACTCTGGAATCTGGAACTCTGGCTCCCACAGGCTCAGCTTGGTATTGGCGCTGGGGATCCAAGCCCTGGTGCTCATGCTTGTTGGGCAAACACTTCAGCCACCGCACCAGTCACCAGACCGCAATATTTTTGATTTCTTATACTTGTTATTTCCGGAAGGATGCTCAGGGAAACCCGATGGCCTTCCACTTGAGATGTTCCCACCCTCTTCAATGCTATCAGAATTGAAGTGTTGACTGCTGAGATAGTTTTCAAAACCCCTGATATCAAAACAAAACAAGGCACTAGGGTTTACTATGTCTGATACACCTCCCAAGCTGCCTTCTTCCTCAGCCACATTCTTCCTCTTTTTCAGACACTAGTTTTCCCTTTGGATGGTCAAACACAATTTTGGTAGACTTTTCATAGCAACTTTCCCGGTTTGAAGTGACAAAACCCTTTGTGGGTATCCACAGATATCTGACACGGGTCAGCTGTCTACCCAAGAGAGTAGAAAGAATTACATTGGGTCTGACGCATTTACACACGTGAATGTGTGTTCCCTGAGAGGGTAACACTAATCCAGTTGTCTGTGTCTCTTGCAGGCTGCCCTGGACACCGTCCTCCTGCCTCAGCCGAGCACTGCCTCCAGGGGGCGCCGCTGAGCGAGAAGGCGAACAGAGAGGAGCCAAGCTGCACTGTGCCATGCACCTCTCCCACTTCTCCCTAGCCCTGCCTTGGAGGCAGCACAGCAAACAGGCCAGAAGATCTATGCGCTGGCGCACAAGAAAAGTGTCAGCGCGACTGGAGAGCATTTCTTCCCGCCAAGCCCTGAGAGCGGAACTCACCTCCAGCCCCGGAAGATCGTCCTCCTCAAACAAGCCCGCCACTTCCTGAAGCCTCCAATTCCCCTGCAGGTAGAGCTCATTTCCTGGGAGGAGTCCTCCTCACAGCAGAGCCAGGGTAGCTGGCAGGGAGAGAACCAGGTCGACATTGAAATGAGGTTCTGAGTGATGCCTTTGTTTTTTTCGTTCTCATGGTTCTCATTAGAGGCCCTCAGGTTCTTCATATGAAGAATAGTATTCACAAAGGGAAGATTCACTGCCCTTTTCCAGAACCTTCTGGACTCTGTCGAGTGGGGTCTTTTGTGAGGAGGAAGGGAGGCAGCCACGTGGGGGAGGTGGGGACAGTGTTTTACATAGAAGGAGCCCCTCGGGTGCTTGGAGTCTGGGGGCAGGGAACACCCTCAGCAATGACAAGCATTCCTGATATAGTGAATTTTCCAAGGGAGGATCCTAGAGTCAAATCCCAGGGACTTTGGCATTGTGGGGGCAGTGAGTGACACAAGACCAAGATACCACTCTTAAGAAAGGGTGGCCACCAAGAAGTGAATGGGTGATGGGAGACAAGGACCTGACTCAGCAGGTCGGAATCTCTTTATTAGACAGCATGGATTCAATTCTAAAGCACACGAGTTCAAGGGAGACATTTGTTTGGGAACTGAGTTGACTAGGGCGTGTGTGTATGTCTGTGTATTGAGGGGTGGGGTGTTGGGGATAGGGTGAATATCAGTAGAGGCAGCTTCTGGTCTGAGCCAGGGCATAGGAGTCTGGTCTGAACCTGAGCAGGCTAAAACCCTCTAGCATACCTGAAGGGCTCTTGCAAGAAAAGGGTGCCCATCTGTGTGCGCTTGCCTGACTTGTTGAGGTACGTCCTCAGATAATCTGTATGAGGAGTATGATGTCTTGGTTCTGAAGAGCTGCCAAGTTCACAAAGCTGAGCACTGTGTGGGGCCTGTTATCTAGACAAGCGCTGCAGGGCCTGAAAAGGATGCATCCAGCAAAACAGTCCCATTAACATGGTGGCTTAGTGAGGGCATGATGGTTAGGAGAGGGCAGCAATTCAGTTTGGACCATCAGGATCCATCATCCTAAAACAACCAGAGCTTAGAGAGAAGAGAAGGCCAGCTTGTCCTGAGTACACGCCTCTCCCAGCAGTTGTGTGCCAAGGACCAGGCTGGGAGCCAGAGGTGGCAGTGTTCTAGGAGGAAAGAGGCTGTGATATGAAGGGGACAGAGAGAAGAGGGAGACCACCCCAATGGTGAGGAACTCTGGGCCAGCCAGAGCCAGCTTCCTCTCCAGGTGAAGCTTATGCAGATCTGGAGATGACGAAATGAGGATTCCCTCCCGTGTCACATTTCAGCCCTTGACTTTTGGTTTATGATTGACCAGGAGTCAGCTAATGAAGGGACAGGCCAGATCTGCTCCCTAGAGCCTCATCAGCCCCTGGTACGTTCTCCTGGGTGTCGTTGGAGGCTGAGGCCATCCTGGGCACTCTTGCAACTGTGGTACCAGGTGAGAGGACAGAGGGCTGAGATTCGCTGATCTCTATGGGTCTTGAGTCCCACACCCTTGCAGAGGACCCATGGGTGGAATGTTTTTGGTTTGACGCTTTGCTTTTCTGTAGACTGAGGCTTTCCAGTTGCTGGGAAAAGGATCTGCTGATACTTGTGCCTGGAAACACAGAAGTGTTCAGTGTCAGGACCCTGAAGAGGAAACAAAGACCTAAGAACAACATAGTTTCCCAGCGTACCCCAATATCCAAGGTGAGATAACGCGTAGTCAGATAAGGAGTGTGACAGGGAAGGTTTGCACATAGCTTACTGTAGTAAATCTTCAGAGCAGCCTAGAAACCAGGTAATGATTTACGCACAACCATGTCAAGGGGCATGTCTCAGGGTCACATGGCAGGAAGAGGGAAGAAGCAGGGGCTGTTAGGTGACACTGACCTGATACTTTCTCCCGGTAGAAATGTTCTTCTTCCTCTTAGGTGTTGACAGAGGCACAGCCATCTGTAGAGTCTCCCCGGTTTCTGTGAGTCTGGGAGAGGTTTGGGGACTGACCTGGCTTCCTCTGTCTCCTGCAGGGCTCAGGGAAGCTGTGCAAGAAGGTCTCGCTGTCCCTGTGATCACTGATATTTGAGAGCTAGAGGTCTCCCATGGCTCCTTATCACATCCGCCAGTACCAGGAGAGGGACCACAAAAGGGCCCTGGAATTATTCTCCAGGGGCATGAAAGAACATTCCTCTGCTTCTTTCCGCCGTATGTTAACACTGCCCCAGACTCTCCTGACCTTACTTGGGATGCTCGTGACCATAGTGCTGGTTCATGGCTCCTGGCTCCTGGCCACAGTGTGCTGCCTCCTTGTACTTCTTTGCCTGAGGCTCTTTGACTGGCATTCTTGGAGAAAGTATGTGTCTACGTGTTTGCAAGCAGACATGGCTGACATCACTAAGTCGTACCTGAATGCACGTGGCTCCTTCTGGGTGGCTGAGTCTGGGGACCAGGTGGTGGGCATCGTGGGTTGTCTGCCAGTTAAGGATCCCCCACTAGGAAGGAAGCAGCTGCAGCTCTTTCGCCTGTCTGTGTCCTCACAGCATCGAGGACAGGGGATTGCGAAAGCACTGGTCAGAACAGTCCTCCAGTTTGCACGGGACCAGGGCTACAGTGACGTTGTCCTTGAGACCAGCATTGTGCAGTATAGTGCTTTGGCTCTCTACCAGGCCATGGGCTTCCGGAAGACAGATGAGTACTTTGTTAGCATATTCACAAGGTTAATGTCTTTTTCTATTGTTCGTTTTACTTACTCTCTCCCTTTTGATTGGGAACCACAGATGTGATCCTTTTCCTTTGTCTGTGTGTGAGACTTCAGCTCACTCTGCTGCAGGAACCAGCAAACCCTGGTAGTTTACAGCTGCCAATCACACGAGCTCGTTTTTCATTCCTCTCAGATCCAGTCTTGCTGGAAGTCTGAGTTGTAGATTTTGGCTACCTGTTCCTTTCTGTCCTTTGAAGTGTCACCTTTTCCTCTCTGGTGCCGTGATGATATAGCACAGAAGCCAACCTGAGCCCATACTGCACACATTTCATGTGTGAAACATTAGCTCTCAGTTTCAGCTGGGTGGTGTCAAGTTCCAGCAGCCCAGTCAGGATTTAGCATCTGCAGAGAGGCGAAACTGAACCCAGAGGGAGCAGAGTATATCCTGGGACACTGAACTTGTCACTTAGGGAGAAATCTAAGACCTACATAGAAGTGGAGCCTCCTCCAGAGGTGTGGCACAGTCAAGGGTCGGGGTGGCAGGTGCTCTGTGACAACTGGGGCAGCGAAGCACTTAATTTACTGCTATGCCACCTTTGTGCCCCGGGGAGGAGGGGGACCTCTGGTGCAGAGAGAGCAATCTAGAATGGCCTCTCCTGGGTGTAGTGATCCCTTATGGATGCAGGAGGAGGGTAAGGAGTCAGGAAGTGTCATGAATATGTCCCCCTAGAGAAGAATCCCAGAACCAAGTGGCCCGTGGTTGAGTTGGACAGCAGTGGGCCTCCAGTGATCCTGGTTATCCTCTGTAAAAAGATTTCAGAAGCCCAGCCCTAAGTGTGTTACAGAGAAGAGAACCCCTGGGATGACAGCTAAGAACAAAGGCGCTCTCACAATAGTGAGGATGCTGGGTGACGGTGCCTCCCTGAACTGTTGTAAGGAGAAGCCCTGAGGTCCAACATAAATGCTGTTGCCTCTGCCTTTGGTCGAATGCCTGACTTAGGGGCTCATTCCTGAAGACATCACATGCCTTGGTCTCAGCCTTAAAGGAGTCCACCAGGGAGTGAGCTGAGGGTCTCTGCTGACTGAATTTCTAGTGCCAAGAGACAAGGCAGGCTCTTGAGGGGGAACTGACAGACAGTCTAGCTTGGTTCTGGAACCCAGGTGCTGTACTGTTACATGCCAGGAAGATGTACACAGTGGGGCAATACTGCCATTAGTGTGCAGACAGCTGCTTTCTGATGAACGTAAGGCCTATTCCCCAGGGCAGACTCCTACTGAGTACTCTAAGCCAAGATAAAGTCCTGTGGCTGTGGAGGTCATAGGTTCAGTAAGGAGACTTCCGCTGTTTTTGTTTTTTATTAGTCAAGTATAATGGGTCAACTTGCCTTCCAAGCATTTGTGTTTATGCCCATAGATGGCTGCTGTGCCAGCCTCAGTATGAAAGGAGACTTCTCACAGAGGGTTGTGGTTATATCAGAAACTCATAATTGTCAAACTGCTGAAAATAAGTTCCTTTGATATAGCCCAGTACTGTGTCAGATATGGCAAAACATAATGTATATACCATCTTTTCAAGGTTTAGGAGCGCTCTGGGTGTGAGCGCGTAAACATTTAAGATCTTAAGTGGGTAGAGTGTTTGGTCTGCATTGGAACATCCTCCAGTGGAAGGCTGACAGAGACGCGACAGACTCAGGAAATGGCTCTTGTGAATTCTCCCTAAAGTCACCTAGGCAATAAACATTTCCTAACAGAGAGAAGACTCTTAGGAACCCCAATGTTGCAGATTTTGTGTCTTGTTACCCATGCAATGGTGGACTTTCAATTACTACAGCTGCCTGGCTCCCCCATGCTCCTGTAAATCATCCCTCACCCATGTTCCTGCAAGTACCTCCAATAAACTGGTTCATCAAACTTAGCTTTGGTCAAATCGTTCCTTTGGTCTCTCCTGGTGCCCTGTCCAGTGTGAATAGATGCTTGTTCTCATCCCCGGGGGAGATCAGACAAAAACATTAACATGGGTACAAAAAGGGTGGGTTTCCTTTCATGTTGTACCCTCATGGGTAAGCCATACTTGATCCCAATGACAGGAGCAAAGGGGCCAAGTGGGTCCAGGATGGAAAGTCTGCCAGAGTAGGAAGTCAGCGACTCCTGGCACCTGGGAAAGCTGTGTGGCCCTCCAGGTCGTTACTGGGGATCTCCTGCTTAGATTTTCTGCTCCTGGAAAAACACCCCCAGAACTGCACCTTGACCTTCCTGTCCCGTTCCTCCCTTTTCTCGAGGGACATGACAGCAGCTCCAGGGCAGCTTCCAAACAAGCTACACTGATGACCACTGACACTCTCCTCTTCTCCTACTTCCCCTGCCATTATCATTATGGGTTCAGCAAATGCACTTCAGCACAGACAAAAGGATGCCTGTGAGCAGAGACAAAACTTGTCATATTGGGATCCTGGCTTTCATGGAGAGTTATTTCTTAGCTCCATGACCATCAGCTGCTGTGTTGCCTGCTGATTAGAAGAGGGGACATGGAGCTCCTTACTCCCCAAGGCTAATACCAGCTCTTAAATGTCCACCTGAATAGTGCCTTGTGCAGGGGCCAAAGAGCCCTCTCCAGCAAGAGGAAAAGATATGTCCTTAGTGTTCTTGAACCAAATCTACATAAGCCTTCTCCATCCCTTCCTAAATGATGTAAAGGTGGGGCCATGCTGCGCTGATGGCTGCATATACATGTGCATGGTACTGGCATCACTAAGTCAGAGTGGGCTAAGACAACTGTGGGCACGGTTTTCTTAATCATGGAATGGCTGTGCAGAGCCAGTGGCTGTGCCTCTTGGCCCCGACTGGATGACTCCATCCCCCTCCCCCAGGAACAGAGGTGAAGACACAAATGGAGGCACCAACCAGGCTGTGAAGCCTAGCCTACTTTTCTCAACAGAATCTCTGTCCTCAGCATCTATTTTAGACTTGTGGAACTTTTGGCATTAATAGTTTGGATTCTATGTTAAGGAGAATAACTCACAAACTCAGACAGGGTTTGCTGAAAGAACCGGTGCAGGTCTGAGAGGGACCTGAAGCTTCAACTCTGTAGCTTGAAGTGGGTGGTTGAATAAATCGGAGCATTTTGTCCCCTCCACAGAGGCATGAAAGCCCACTGAGCCTATTTCTCACATAAATTGTGTCGTTTTTCGAAGCCTGAAAAGTACAAATTATTTTGTTGAGTCCTGGCCTTCCATTGGAGTCCAGCTGCAAGCTTCCAACGATGGACATAGACTCAAAGCTGAACTGAGGGACTGAAGAAGGGAAGGCACAAGAGCCAGTTCTCCCACTTGCAGACGTCCTTCATACTGTGTTACTATGTACTTGAACATGCTTGTAGGACCAGCAAGATGGCTCAGTAGGAAAATGCTCCATGGCCAAGCCTGATGACTGAGTTCAATCTCCAGGACCCACAGGGTGAAAGAAAAGAACCTATTCCAGCAAGTTTTTCTCTGATCCCCACATGCACATGGTGGCCCTTTCATGTACTCATGCACGTGTGCACGCATGCGCTCACGCACACATACACACCAAGTAAATTAATGTGATACGCTTTAAAAAAACAAAATATAATAAACAACAAGCAGAAAATGGTCGTTTAGTAGATTCCAGGTGTTTGTGCAAGTGGTAAGAGTCAGACCAGTCGTTTTCCAGTCCTTAACTAAGTAACTTAATGTAGAAAGGTGGTTGGTCCTGAAGGAAAGAGTTCAGGAATGAGCACCCTAAAGCATGAAGTAATCAGCAAAGACTCTCCTAAAGCCACACCCTGCACAGTGAATTCCTCTGCCTGGCCACCTGCCAATGACTGCAGTTCAAGGTGGGAGCCATGTTCTGATAGCTGAACTTGAACTACTTAGATTTTACGATTTGTGGTCAAGGACATCTGATTCACTAAGGCCTTATAACAATTCCCATGACCCTTGAAACCTCCCGTGGGACTGGAGAGATGGCTGAGTAGTTAAAAGAACTTGTTCTGGCAGAACTGGGTTCCATTCCCAACACCATGTCTATGAAGCATAAGTGTCTTTGGACTCAAGTGGCTCATCAATGCATTGAAAGATATTTTGTATTTCTGTTGGGGTCCTGAAATCTGTGGGACTAGATGTCTCAGATTAAATTTAACAAGGCCAGTATGGCTCCCTCTAGGGTTCTATGAGTAGCAAATTGTTGGGGGTAGTGAGGGGACTGTGATGGGGCTACCAGCCTATTGTTCAGGGGTTTCCTTTGATGCAGCTTTGGTAAGTCACATTCTGTGCTGATGTGGGTGCCCATAAGAAAACCCAGTTCACTCTGGCTCCTACTGTGGTCCTCACCAGAAGTGCAGGAGGGACAAAGGAGATGGCTGAGTTGGCACAAACGTGAAGACCTGAGCTCAGCTACGTAGTGATATGAAGTCAGGTGCTGGAACACAAGACTACAATGTATGTCAGGGAAATGGAAACAGGCAGCTCCCTGAAGCGGACAAACCACTCAGTCTGGCCAATCAGTGCGTGAGAAACACTGTCTCAGCAAGTGGAGAAGTAACTCAAGAGTACATCTGGTATGGTATGGACTCCTGGCCTTTACACATGTATGTCCACAGATGAGTACACACACACACACACACACACACACACACACACACACACTTTTCATGTGTGTGCTTATTACCAGGGGTTGACAGTATCTATAGCGAGAGTCCTAGTGTCCACAGCCAGAAGGAAATGAGTGCTATATGGTGTCCATATGTGCATATGGGAAGAAGCTTTGACAAAAGCAGGACCCTGGGATCCAAATATTGAGTCCTGCTGCTCAGCTCTGCTGTTGAAGTAAACACGGGAAAGAGAAAAGACAACGAGAAGGGTGGTCACAGTGATAGGTGCTCAGAAAGGATGAGGAGCAAACTGACCAACTTCAGTGCATTCTTCAGTGACTTCTGAAATAAGGGAGAGAGGTTACGATGAGGCTTCCTGCACAGCAGGGGCTTCCTCCGGACCCCAGATTAGGCACAAATCTCACCCAAAATCCTGTTTTCACAGAGAGATCCTTAATATTAAGCTGGAAAGAAAAGCTAAAGAGGCTGCTTTCTGACTCAGGCAGGAAACAGCAGCAAATGACCTTGCAGATGTCATTTTTAAGAGAAGGAAAAGAAGGGGCGGTCTGTGTTAGAACGGGCTGGGGTGCAGTGATAAAGGAGAAGGGGAAGGGGACAAGAAGAAGGGGAAGGGGAAGGGGTATCTGTCGTAGAGGAACACAGGACTGCTTCTAGATGGAGGGGAGACAGGCATGGTCTATAGGAAAATGGCGGTTTATAAAGGTAAAATGGGAAAGCCTGTGCTAGAATGAGGTGTTTAATGTTTAATTTCTCCTCCTCCTCCTCCTCTTCCTCACCTTCTCCTTCTTCTTTTTTTGGTTTGTCAAGACAGAGTTTCTATGTGAAACAGTATTGGCTGTCCTGGAACTCATTTTGTAGATCAGACTGGCCTCGAACTCACAGAGATTCACCTGCCTCTGCCTCCCAAGTGCTGAGATTAAAAGTGTGCATCAGCACCACCCGGCGAGATGTTTAATTTTAATTGGGCATATTAATTGGCTGAGCCAAAAGGGACTTTTGATTGCTAGACTTCAATACTTTGATAGCTGAACCTTGGTGCTCAGGAGGAACAAGTGGCCAAATAAGGGACTAGACCTTGATGGTTAGCTTTAGGAATGGAATCTAACAGTTTTTAGCAAGGCAGACTATTGTAGGGTATTTTACTCTTGGCTTTTTGAGGGGCTCGACATCCAGCTCCCAAATAAATCACACACAGAGACTTATTTTCAGTTATGAATGCCTCGCCTTAACTTGGCTTGTTTCTCGCCAACTTTTCTTAAATTATCCTGACTACCTTTTGCATCTAGGCTTTTGTCTGTCCCTATTTCTGTATAGCTTTCTTTCCTTCCTTCTCTGTGACTTGCTGTGTAGCTGGGTGACTGTCCCCTGATGTCCCCCTCCCCTTGTTCTTCCTTTGTACCTCATTCTTTATTTATACTCTGCCTGCCAGCCCTGCCCATCCTTGCTCCTACCTTACTATTGGCCATTCAACTCTTTATTGTGACCAGCAGGCATTTTAGACAGGAAAAGAATCAAAGCTTCACAATTAATCAAATGTAGCGTAAACGAATGTCACACACCTGAAAATAATATTCCCTATCAGCAGAGGGTGGGGGGAAGAGGGGCAAGGCCTGCCAGAGCCATATGCTCGAATGGGCTAGCGTCTGTTCAGTTCGTGTCCCTCATCCTGTTAATTTCCAGAGAAACAGCCATACACCTGTGAATAGGGCCCCAGTGTGGGTTACCCTGGCTTCCCAGCTCTGACAAAGCTTAGAGCCAGGGGCCTTAGGACCTAGGTCCCTGACCACATGTCCTGTCTGATTTCTGACATCCCTTTGGTAGGCCCCTTCCTCACTCTTAACCTGCCACTACCCAGTTCCCAGACTGTGACAGTGCTGTTGCAGTGAGATGCTCGAAAGGGTTAACCCAAGAGTAAACCAGCAAGAAAGGCATAGTCTCCAAAGATGAGTGAAGTTCATGAGGAGTCACCGACCATTGCTGTTGTACCCCTAATTTTAGATCAAAGAGTTCTCAGAGGCAGTAGTGTTCCAAAAGTAAAAAAATTCTCTGTCACGGCACCTGGGCTACTCCCTCCACACTGGAACAGGGGAGGGGCTGTGGCAATCCTAGAACACACAGACAACATATAGGAAATACAGAGATGTTGGGTTCAACCATAGGTCAACCAATCAGGACAGACAAAATGTTCACAATGTGGAAACCTCACCCCTATTCTCAAAGGGGCTAGAAGAAATTTCCTAACAAAATGTTTTCCCAGGAAGATAATGGCCTTCCCCTCTCCCACCCAGGAGATTCCGAGCACAAGGTCACTTAGCTCAGCCAGCCAGCCACCTGATACAGGCTGATAAAGATGGTCTGACTCAGAAACAATGGCCTTGCTCTAAGAACAAGAAGAAAGCTGACTTAGCAGAATAGGAGGGAGCAAAAGTCCTTACACCTATGACAAAGCAGCTTCAAAGATTCTCTTTGTAGTTATGCCTTTAAAAGCTTACCCACAGAGGAGATACAACTCCTCTCTACCTTGTTGTAACGGGGATGGAGATGAGTTCCAAACATGTTCGTATTATGCTGATTAAACCTTGCTTATTACAGACTGGGCCTCTCTGGTGGTCTCTCTCTGGGGGTCATAATCTGGGTACAATACATAAAAGTCACAAGAGAGGAACTGCACATTTACAAAAGAGTTTAACTAAGGGCCAGCCAGTTAGAACAGGCAGCACCTTTACAATCTAAGATTAGGTTCACATTCGGTGTCGTGTGTTAATTACCAGTGTGACAGGTTTTACTACCTTATGCTTTGCCATCGCTAAGATCACAACCCTACTGGGACAGGCTTTACAATTCCATGTTTTATAATTCCTAAGGCAAATGTTTTTACTTTTGCTTTACTTAGGGAGACTCAAGCAATCCTTTAGCAAACACTGAAGTCGGCCAGATCCAAATGAGAAATTTAATCTCTCAATGGCAAAGTACACGTGTGCTGTGCCAAACCATGTTTCCAATGGTTGAGGCAGGGAGAAGGTTTCTTTCTTGGATTTATTTGTTGTGTGAGAAAACTTTCCCTGGGGAGATGCAACACACGTTACTTGCGCTGGAGTCCATGATGGACGAAGTACAGGCATCAAAGCCCAACTCGATGAACTAATGAGTATTTTATTGTGAGCTTTATATATGGGTGAGGAGCACTTACAGGAGCAGAAATGACTCGCAGACAGGCTCTCCAAGAGGTTGGAGAGTGTCCTTTACAAGTAGTAAATCTCTTCCACGCAGCTTGCTGGTTTCTGCTCTTTCTCAAGTGCTAGCCTGGTCTCAGTTTTCTTTGTGGCTTGGCTTGAGTCTATTTTGCAGTTTTATTGCTTACTCTTTCCAGGTGGGAGTGGGAGGAATGAATCCCATAGGTTTCAGGGACTTCCTGAAGCTATTGTCAGTTGTTTACCTCCATGGTTAAGAAGGGTCCCTGCAGGATGGAATGTTTCAATCTTAGTTAAAATTGTTTAGAACATATTTTGTGTAAGAGTCTCTGCGTATATGATTGTTTGTACTCTATGGCTGCCTGGTGCCCATGGAGGTCAGAAGATGTCAGATCCCTGTAATTGAAGCTAAAGATGGTTGTAAGGCACAATGTGGGTGCTAGTAACTGAACCCAGGTCTTCTGCAAAAGCAACAAGTTCTCTTAACAACCTTCTCATCTCTCTAGCTCCAAGGGAGGTTTTAAGTGTCGGCAGTCATGTGACTTCTTCAGGGTATGAGGCCTGAGAATAGCATGAACTGAAAGGCCAGAAAAGATACCATTTCTGTGTTGGGCCCTTTTGGGACCTGGGATTATATTCCAGCCCCCAGGACAAGCTGAAGGCTGCAGAAGAGCTGAACCCCGACCCTCCCCCTAGCCCCAGGATAAGCTGAAGGCCATAGGACCCCTCTTTAGGGGAAGCAGTAGCTAATGGAGGAACCTAAGTTACATAGTTGCTGACTGCACCCCATACCCCCATTGTTTATGGCTCTGTGGTGGTCTTCTTGGGGGTCCTAGGGCTCAGGTACAACAGGACAAATTCTCCTTGTGGCAAGGCCCTGGAGAATCTAACCCATTTAGGTAAGACTGATGGATTGTTCACTGCGCAACTCTTGGCATGACCCAGGAGCATATGTGCTACCTGCTCTTCTGGCTTTCTTTATACAAACCATATTGCTGGCTGCCTCTAGCTTTGTTTTCTTAGAGCTATGGATGAAATGGCTATTGTATAAGGAAAACGTCCCCCTGATGACTCTTCTTTGGGTGAGTCAGAGAGGATGCTGTTAAAAATATACAGTGGACCAAATTCGGCTTAATACCTTTGATGTTTCAACTGTGACCATGAATTCAGTATTCTCAAGAACAGGATGTTGCCTTTCTAATGTATCTTGTGACTAGTCTGAAAGAATCACAGTCGTTTATGACATTAAAAACTTGCATAACTGTCATAGACTATTATTTTAAGGTGTGTTACGTTTGTTTATGCTGTGGAACATTTGTTTAACGATGTAAAAACTTGTTGCTTTTATTTATGCTGCATTTGTTTAACTCTGGGAAACTGTGATTCTTTGCCTGTCTAAAACACCTGATGGTCTAATAAAGAGCTAAACAGCCAACACTGAGGCAGGGGAAAGGATGGGAGGGGCTGGCTGGCAGAGAGTGTAAATAGAAGGAGACATCTGGAAGAGAGAAGGAACAAGAGAGAACAAGGAGAGAGGATGTTAGGGGCCGGCTACCCAGCCAGCCAGCCACGGAATAAGAAGAAAAGTAAGATATACAGAACTAAAAAAAGGAAAAAGCCCAGAAGCAAAGGTAGTCGGGTTAATTAAGAAAAGCTGTTAAGAAACAAGCCAAACTAAGGCTAGGCATTCATAAGTAAGAAAAAGTCTCTGTGTGTGTTTATTTGGGAGCTGGGTGGTGGCCCCCCAAAAGAGAAAAGAGCCAAAAAGGTAAAACAACTACTAACAACACTTAACTGTTCTGGAGAGAATGATTTTAACCACAAGAGTCTAGGAGAAGAAATTCTAGCAGCAGATGATGTCAGATGTTAATAGGGTCAGTCTAGGTACAGGCAATGAAGCAGAATCTTAGAAACCCACAATGCCCTCATTTGTAATAGTTGTGCCAATACTATAGGAAGCTGAGAAGAAGGGGACAAGAGAACAAGAGAACAGTGCCACCTCTTGAGAGTAAGCTTTTAAGTTATGTAGTTTACAAGATGATAGAAAAAAAAGCCTGGTATAGTCCCCTTCGGAGCTAGGGTAGTGCAGAATAAAGAACAAATTGATCTAGCCTTGGCTAGTGAGTTGATTGTAGGAACATAGATTTTGTCAGAAGTAAATATGAATCAGAGGTAAAAGTCTCTTTCACTTTGCACAATGCTGTAACTGCAAATGCTGCCAACTGGGCACACTGCTCTACCTGTAGGTGTGCCTAGTTAGACAACTTCCTCCTGTCGTTTGCAACACTGCTTATGCTTCTAACAATAGTGCTGGGAATCAGGTACTTACTTCAATGGTTACTGGTAGGAAAGCTGAAGGACAGACAGGGAATGAGGTAAAGGAACAAGCTGGCAATTATCGTAATCATTATTTGTAGATGGACGCTCTGTCCCTCCTGGTCCCACAGCTATTCAGTACCAAAGAAACACACAGAAGGTCAGTCTCTAGGACAGAGGTGGGAGGGTGGGGAAAGTGCTGGCCTTGGTACAGAGGGCAGGGAAGGCATCTAGGACAGGCAGTCGTGATGCATCTAAAGTTTGTCCCAAAACGACTGACCCAGGAGGCCATGCTTTGCTCTCCATGGTGACTGAACAGAGCTGCAGTGAGGCCAGAGAAAGGGAACGACAAAGCCAGGAGTGGCCTTGAGCCAGCAGAGCTCCAGGCTGCTGAGCAGGCACAGATTGTGACTGGGTGAATTAGGAGGCTGGCAGCAGGCGGCCATAGAACCTCTGAGCCTCTGGGTTCTTCTCAAATGAAGCTGGAGGCTCAGAGCAGGCTGGGTTCTGAATGGTGGGTGGTTTTGTGCCAAAGACACCTCCTCCATATTGGCTCATAGTCTTGTTTGTCCTTCTCAAGCCTGGGGAGAAACAATGCCCACTGGTTACACAGCTCTTCATCCATCTTTCCCCTGATGGCTTTTCAGTCAAGGATCAGATACATGTGACCCATGAAACCATTTTCTGTCTTTCTCTTCCTCTCCTTTCCTCTCCTTTCCTCTCCTTTCCTCTCCTCTCCTCTCTTCTCCTCTCCTCTCCTCTCCTCTCCTCTCCCCTCCCCTCTCCTCCCCTCCTCTCCTCTCCTCTCCCCTCCCCTTTCCTCCCCCTCTCTCTGTAGTGTATATGTAGGCTGCTATACTTGTGTAGGTTCACACCCATATGGTACAGAAGTTAGAGGTCATCCTCTGATGTCATTCCCCACGAGCCATCCCCCATGTTGTTGTGAGAGCCTCTCCCTGGGACCTGGAACTCAGCTACTAGACTACACTGGCTGACCAGAGAGCCCTAGGTGTCCTCTCGTCCCTCCTCCTCAGAGCCAGGATGACAAGGGCAGGACAACATTAACTGGCATTTTAACATGGATGATGAAGATCCAACTCAGGTCCTAATGCCTGTGTAGCAAGCGTTTGTCTGACAGAGCCATATCCCCAGCCCCCACACCCCCTCCACCCAGCGAGGGGGGAGAAATGAGCATTCCAGCGAGAAATGAGCAGCCTTTTCCACAACAACACAGGTTCTGGACTTAACTCTCCATGTAGAGAACACTGCTCTTAAATGGGCTTAAAACTACCCTTCGAGAGACACGGGCGTTTCCACTGAGTTCTTCCTGGGAAACCGCAATGGTTTATTCGTTTTCGTGGTCAGAGGCTCACGAGGACGGAACACATCCCAAGGAGAGAAATAAAACCTTCACAGATCATCTCTGTAACGCGTGTATTAATAAATGTACACATCGACTGCAGCAGCAGTGCAACTGCCCACACTGGAGATGTGTTTAGTAACTGCATTGCTTGCAAGACTGCTGCAGGGCAGCCTCGCCCCGGGACTGGCATTAGAAGGGTTGTGGGAACCCTCATCTCTGCTCTGACGCTAGGAGTACAGATAGAAGCAGTCTGGAATATGAAAAAAATAAACCACTAGGAAGTTTGTGCCTTTTCTTAATCCCACTCTCCATTAAAGGGAAGCTAAGTTCAATGCCAGGATCCTACAGCTACAGTGAAATTAAAGAACTAATTATCAGAATTGTCCTTTGACTCCAAATGCACACTGTGGCACACTTGTCCTCCTCCCGCGTAAATAAAGTGAAATGAAGTGAGTCTGGGCGTGGCAGCTCGTGCCTCTAATGCCAGCCTTCTCTTTTACAGTGCTGCTTCGGGAAGAGGCAATGTTACAGTAGCACTGGAGGCCACTAAGGTAAAATCACTGCCTCCTGAACAAAAGAGTGGACATGTGCTGTCATCTGCTGCCTTAAGGGTTAATCTAGGGGCTGGAGATTCTGTGATTAAGTGTTCTAACTGCTCATCTAGAGCAGGTTCAATTCTAAGTCTCTACACAACATCTCACAACCATCTGATAGCAATAGTCTCTTCTGACCTCTGCACAGTCAGATACCCAGACACACATGAAGACAAAACACCTATCCACAAACTATTATTAAAAATAAAACAATTTTCTTAAAAAAGAGTTAATCCATTTGTACCTGTCAATCTCTTGTCCAAGGGACCATCCCTCGGGATGGTGGATTTACCTTAATGTGCACAAAAGAGATAATAGGAATAATTAATTAGTCCTTTAATAAGCCTTTCCTTCCCAAATCCTTGGCCCTGAAAGCAGTCTCTGTGGCAACCATGAGGTTCCTTGTGTCTGCCCCTCTGTCCCTTTAGGGTGCTGGCCAGTGCCTAAGTCCACTTCCGCTGGTGTTCTGGGCTCCCTCACTCTGCCTGTGCAGCCCCAGTTCCCACCATGTGTCTGTTTGTCTGCCATGTGGCTGACCTCCACACCAGGTTAACTCTAATGGCATGTCTGTGTATCTTCCTCGTAAGCTTCTAACTAGAAGGCTATATATAATAATCTTGTCTCTAAACTCACCCTCTGAGGTCCATGCATTTCAGTCTTTGAATTCTCAGGATGAGCACCCAGAAGCCACTGCTAGAGCTGCTTTTGTGACTATCAAGTTCTCCAGGACCCTAGTCCCCATGCTAAGAAAGTCTCTGTTGTTCTCAACAATGACACAGAATTCCCACATCAATTATGTTTAATCTGTAGGATTGAATAAAATTCCTTTTTTTCCCCTTTGAGATAGCATCTTGCTCTGGCCTCTCATTCTCCACTGGCCTCTAATTTTCAGTCTTCCTTTTCCTCAAGCTTCTGAACACCAGATTACAAGGGTCTTCCACCAGGCCTAGTTTGAAATCTTTTTTTTCCCCCAAAACAGGGTTTCCCTGTATAGCCTTGGCTGTCCTGTAACTCACTCTATAGACCAGACTGGCCTCAAACTCTGTCTCCAGAGTTTTAGGATTAAAAGTGTGCATCGCCACCATCTGGCTTGAAGTTTTTTTAAGTAAACTGTAAGTATGTTTCCTCCATCCTAGTTTCTCAGGGCTGTAGTAAAGACTCAGCGGTGTACCCAGAACATGGAGCACAAGGAGCCTGCAGGAAAACTAAGAGAGTGCTGGGTTCCGAGGATTTACCTCTGCCCCCCTGTGCCACTCTACCTTCTCCACCGTTTGTGAAGCTGGTATGAATGAAACAAGATGAGACGTATCTGTGCCCTCCATGTGGAAGCTTTGAGCCACTCCGCCATCCCCGAGGCTCCTGCTCAGTTGTGTGAGTTTGACCCATGAACTGGGCTGAGAAGCCTCCACCAGACAGGGCTCCTGAAGCGCCGCTGTGGGCTTTCTTTTCCTGTAATGAACTAGTGAGCTCAGAGACTGGCTGTCACCGTGCTGTGGGTCCACCAGAGAAGACTGCTCAGAGATGGGGTGAGCCAATAGGAAGTCTTCATTAGTCAGAGACCACACTGCGTGCTCAGACTCCCACAGCAGCCACGAGCCTTCCTCAGGATGAACTTCTAAGCATGAAAACTTTGGGGTTGACATGCTTTGGTTGAGAAAAATGGTTATCCAGAAGTGGAATTCCAGAAGCTAAAAAGCAAGGTTAGTGCATTTAGAGACTTTCCCAGAACTATGGACTTTGATGGATTAGGCCTTTGTTTTGGCTTTAGCAGGTGGGGTTCTCTTGGGTCCTACCAAGGTCTGGGGCCCTGTTACAACTGTAGTTTGTTAACAACACACACACATTCACACACTCACTTTAAAAAAAAAGAGCACATAACACTGATTCTGACCACCTAACCGGGGTGGTTTGAATGAAGACAACCCCCATAGGCTCATAGGAAGTAGCACTATTAGGAGCTGAGACGTTGTTAGAGGAAGTGTGTCACTGGAGGCGGGCTTTGAGGTTTCAGAAACTCAAGCCAGGCTTAGTGGCTCACTATCTTTTTCTGCTGATTGCAGATCAAGATGTAGAACTGCCAGCTACCTCTCCAGCACCATGTCTGCCTGCACACCACCATGCTTCCCACATGATGACTATGGACTAAACCTCTGAACTGTAAGCCAGCCCCAATTAAATGCTTTTCTTTATAAGAGTTGCCATGGTTCATTTGATAGAGAACTGATCTCCAAAATGTACAAATTACTCAAAAAACTGGACACTAAAATTTCAAATAATCCAATTAAAAATGGTGTACAGATCTAAACAGAGAACTCTCAACAGATGAATCTAAAATGGATGAAAGAAAATGCTCAACTTAAGGAAATGTTCAACTTCCTTAGCCATCAGAGAAATGCAAATCAAAATGACTCTGAGATACCATCTCCCACTTGGAGATGGCCAAGATCAAAAACACTGATGACAACTTATGCTGGAGAGGGATGTTGAGTAAGGGGAACACTCCTCCATTGCTGGTGGGAGTGAAAACTTGTACAACTGCTTTGGAAATCAGTATGGCAGTTTCTCAGAAAATTAAAAGTCAATCTACCTCAAGACCCAGCAAAACCACTTTTGGGCATATACCCTAAGGATGCTCAGTCATGCCACAAGGAAAAAATATTTGCTCAGCTATGTTCATAGCAGCATTGTTTGTCATATTCAGAACCTGGAAACAACCTAGATGCCCCTCAAGCAAAGAATGGACAAGGAAAATGCAGTACATTTACACAATGGAGTACTGCTCAGTGGTAAAAACATTGACATCTTGAAATTCTCAAACAAATGGACAGAACTAGGAACAAGCATACTGAGTGAGGCAACCATGCCCAGAAAGACAAATAAAGTATATATTACCCATAAATGACTTTTAGACATAAAGCAAAGGATAGCCAGTCTCCAGTCCACAACCCCAGAGAACCTAGACAAAAGAGACATACATGGATCCACTTAGAAAGGAGAAAAGGACAAGATCTCCTGAGTAAATTAGGAGTGTGGGGGACAAGGGGAGGGATGTGGACAAGGAGGAATGGGAGAGGAGAGGAAGGAGAGAGAGTAGGAGAAAATGTCTAACTCAATACAAACAATAAAAAAATAAAGAGCTGCCATGGTCATGATCATGATGTCTCTTCATAGGCTAAAACCCTCTAAGACATCCTGGTCCTAAGGGTTGTGAGGCACAAGCCTTCCCCTTTCAGCTGGCGGGCAACAACAGGTACAGCTTCCATTAGGGCTGGAGAGTGGCCCCTAACCCACGGGTCAGGTGGGAAGCAAGTGATGCTGAGAACAGAGTGTCAGAAGAAGCACAAGGCCCAGCATGCCTTCAGCATGTACTGGGACTGAGACCACTGGCTTTGGGAGGAGCCACCAAAGATCCAAGAGGCACCCACAAGCCTTTCAGCTGGACTTCTGCTCGGCTGGATATGACCCAGAATCTGCATGGCCACAATCACAACCTCTGCTCTCTGCCTCAGGCCCTTAGTTTAACTTCTGCTTAGCATTCACATGTTAGAGAGGATATCGAAATGTCCTGAGACAGGGTGACCCACTGTTGTGTGACCATATTCCTGGGAAGACACAATACTGTAAGGGGACAGTATTGGCTCAGGACTCCCAAGACCAAGCACAAAGGAAATTTGTTTGCCCCAGGGGGACAAAGGGCAGGGAATAAGAGAGAAAACTAGGAGATAGAGGATGAGAGAGAAGGGTAAGGGAATAAGCGGGCAGGGATATCTGTTCCAGACGGGAACAAAGGACTGCCTCTGGATAGAAGGGAAACAGATGTGGTCCATGGGAAAATGACTGTTTACAAAGGTACAAGGCGGGGGATTTCATGTTAGGATGAGGGTGTTTAATTTTAATTGGGCATGTTAATAGGGTATGCCAAAGGGAGCTTCTGATTGCTCATATTTGATAGCTGGATTTTGGTAGTCAGTCTCCGAAGAAGGAAGTGGTCAAATAAGGGACTAGACCTCGGTGGCCAGCTTTAGGAATGCAATTTAATGGTTTTTAGCAAGGCAGAGGGAATGGGGGAGGGAAGGACAAGGTTTGCCAAGTCATGTCTGTCGTGCTCGGACTGACTAGGGTCCCTTTAAAAACACACACACACACACACACACACACACACACACACACACACCCCTACCTACTTACCACAGATAGGGCTGATGGCAGACCAAAGGACAGAAACCATCAAAGTCCAGCTTAGTGAGCCAGTGAGTTTTATTGGCTCATAGTTACTTCCAAGAGCAGGAATGATTAAAAAACAGCTGCATCATCAAGACTCACCCCATCACGCGTGACAGATAACAAATACAGGAAAACTTGAGCAAACTGTACGCCAACACTTCAGCAGGTTGGAGAGTGTCCTTTCCAGGTGTCCAGGAAGTCGAAATCTCTCTGGGTAATTTGGCTGATCTCCATTTCTTTCCAGAAGTTTAACCTGTCTTAGAGTCCCCCAGCAGTCTGCCTACTGCTCGTACATACTTGCATGCTTGAGGAGGAAAGTGTAGTCAGTCTGGTCAGTTTCAGGGGCTTCCTGAAGTTCTTGAGTTGCTTAATTTCTGAGTTTAAGAAACTTCTAGCAAGTGGAGTAATTCTCCTCCCCTTGCAACGTTTCATTGCTCTACCTCCCTATAAACATTCTGTATTGGAAGCTGCTACATAACACCTGTTTTCTCACAAGCATTATGAGTATGGTTAACCTAGAACCCTAGCTTGAAGGTTAACATCCGGAATCACCACAGCCTCCTCCAGGACCTGAGTTCCAGCCTCTGGTTTGTCATGAAGAATCTGCAGACATCCCTTACAGACCATCCCCAAGCTTTCCAAAACTAGCCTCTCCCGATGCGAGCTTAGCCGTTCTGTCGAGCCCTCTCTGCATCTCTGAGGCCGTCCTTGTGCTCGCTGCTGTCTGAGCAGTGCTGACCCTTGCATTTCTACCCCCCCCCCCCCATGCACCTCAAGGCAATGCAGATTGCTATCTGGCCTGTGACTTTACGGACAGACCAAAGGCCCGCTGTTCTTGCTGCTATCTTCTTAGCCAACACTGAACAAGGACCCCTTGGTAGCAATAAAGCCACAAGATCCATAGCATTGCAGGCAAAGAAGATCTTTTAGCAATTAAAAAATATACTTTGAACTTGTCCCTGTGAGGACCAGCCATGATAATCTAAGTCTGGGCAGAAAGGAAGTTCTTTACTTCCTCCAACCATTATCACCTGGGACTCTGGCCACCAATAAATTTAAATGGAGCCTAGAGTCTCAATAGCTTACCCTGAGACAATGCCTGGCAGGCTGAGATTACCTGAACCCCACCCAAGAGCGGACCATTCAAAGAAAATTCCTGGCATTCCAAGCACTGTAAATAGAAACACCTGCCAGCACTTCCCCAGGACACCCCTAGACAAATGTCAGCCAATCAGGGGTCCTGAACCTCAGAGACCCCCCCCCTCACGCCCACATTTACTACTATAAAAACCCAATTCTAATTGAGCTCCGGGCTCTCTGGATATTCCAATACGTTGGCCATGCGGAGAGACCGAGTTTGCAAACTTGATTAAAATAAAGGCTCTTTGCTTTTACATATGGGACTCAGTCTCCTTTGTTGGCTTTTGTGGGGACCCACGGATTTGGGCGTAACATCCCCAACCCAGCTGTGTGTGGGTTCCTCTTGGAAGCCAGCTCTGAGTGTTAATTTCCAGGACATCTTGTTGAGCACAGGCTTCTGCAGCATGCAGCCTGCACACTGGGGGCGGGGGGACCCTTGTCTTGCCAAGGCCGTCCAGACATCCCTAGGCACAGTTTCTCGTCCTGCCACGACTGACTCATGTTCCAAGTGAAAAAAGACAAATATGGCTTCACTACCACACCTGTCATTTAGCATCCCAGCTGAAAGCACATCCCTAGCCTCGTGCATCTGAAATGTGATGTCTGTACTACTCGGCAGGGATGTGGGTCCTGTACATCCAGGTCTCTACTAGCACTAGTCACTATCCTCGAAAGCATCCCCGCTTCTGCCCCTTCACCCTGACCAGCTGCCTTCACTGCTCAGGAGACCAACCATCCTTCCTCTGTCCTGACTTCTCATTAGCCTCCTCCTGTGGTCCTTGTCACTACTGTGAGGGTGTTCCTCTTTTCCTTTGCCCCAAAGCTCCCGTGAAACTCCTTCTAAGAACTCACTGTAGCCTCCTCTCCACCTGCACAGGGAGTCGCAGGAGGGGACAACAGGATCTTCACAAGTGTGCTGGTCACAGTTGGGGGACAGGGGAGCATTGCTTCCACCAGAGATATCTCCGTGTGCAGGCAAGCTTAGACAGGGAGGAACCCTGCCACAGAGGACTTTGCTGCTGAGCTGTTGGACCTGAACTCTTGTCAAGGACATGTGAGCTGGGGTGAGTTGCGCTGCTGCCAAGAAGGGACCAGGATGTCCTCGGAGAGGGCCAAGTGTGCTGGGTGTGACGGTGTGACTCGAATAAGTCAGGGAGAGAGGTGGGAGCCCTCTCACAAGGTTAAGGACTCGGGACCACTTGGGCGTGCTTTTCCTTCCCGATTCGCTCCGTGGGGATCACAAAGTGAATGAGAAGGTCTTTTCTCCTCTGTTACATTCTAATTCATGGCCTTTGGTTGACAATTATCCTGGAGTTAGCCAGTGAGGCACCAGCCCAAGTCTTCTCCCCAGAGAAGGAATGGGGTCGTGGCAGGCTCTTCTGAGTGTCCATTCTACAGTGTCCTGCGCTACCAGGTGAAAGAACAGAGAGGCAAAGCTGGGGGTCTCTGTGAGCCTGGAGTTCTTCAGCCTTCTTGGGGATTCATAGGAGGAAGGCATATTTTGGCTTGAGCTGTTATTTTTCACTAAATCAAACCTTCTAATCAGAGGGAAGAGCTTTTTCCTGAAACTTGTACTTGGGAACACAGGATTCTGCGGTGTATGGGCCCTAAAGAGGAAATAGCTGGATACCAGATTTCTACCACAGGGCCCCAAAAGTTGAGAGAGCCTGTAGCTGGGTAAGGAAGCTGGTGGGGAAGGGGCTGTACACACACGCACGTGCACACACACACACACACATACACACACTACACATAGGCCACCATATTAAATCCTCACAATTAGGCAGGAAGCCATGTTATATTTTACTGCATCTAAAGAGGACCATGGAACGAATCAGAGGGGTGAAGAGTGTGACTAAAGCCACAAAGATGGAAAGGAAGAAACCAAGGGAGTGCTCAGGTGCTAGCGACCTCACATTTTGTTCTAGTGATGCCCTGCTGCTTCCTGGGTGACACTAGAAAACACACTCAAGGAAATTTTCCATGGCTTCTAGGAGGCGCAGAGCAATGGTTGAAGAGTCTTAGAGAACTCACTTGGTTTTCTTTCTCTTCTGCAGGGTCCGGGGAAGGTGTGCTGGCAGGTCTGCTGTCCCTTGTGGATGCGAATTTGACACCCAGAATCTTCCCATGGCTCCTTACCACATCCGCCAGTACCAGGAGAGGGACCACAAACAGGTCCTAAATGTGTTTTCCAGGGGCATGGAAGAGAACATCCTCACGGCCCTCCATCATGCATTGATGCTGCCCCGAACCCCTCCTGATCTTCCTTGGGGTGCCCATTGCCCTGGTCCTAGTGTCTGGTTCCTGACTGCTGGCCATTATGAGCATCTTCCTTCTGTTCCTATTACTGTGGCTCCTTGCCAGACAGCCCTTGAAGAAATTTGTGGCTATGTGCTTGCAAACAGACCTGGCTGAGTGAGCTTGGCTCCTGCTTCTTGGTGGCTGAGACTGAGGGCCAGTTGGTGGGCCTGGCAGTTGCTTGGCTAGTCAATGTTGATGGAGAGAGGGTCCCTTTGTTTGTCCCGGCTGCCTGGCTAGCTTACACCTGAAATAACCACACAGAAACTGTATTAATTAAAACACTGCTTAGCCCATTAGCTCTAGCCTCCTATTAGCTAACTCTCACATTTTGATTTAACCCATTTCTATTAATCTATATATCACCATGAGGTTGTGGCTTACCAGGAAAGATTTAGTACATCTGATCTGGCAGCTCCATGGAGGCTCTCTGACTCTGCTTTCTTCCTCCCAGAATTCAGTTCTGTCTTCTCCGCCTACCTAAGTTCTGCCCTGTCAGGCCAAAAGTTTCTTTATTGATTAACCAATGAAAGGAACACATAAACAGAAGGACCTCCTACATCAAGTCAAGGATCCCCCAATTGGGAGGAAGCAGCTACAGCTCTTTGGCCTGTCTGTGTCCTCACAGCATCGAGGACAGGGAATGGCAAAAGCACTGGTCAGAACTGTTCTCCAGTTTGCATGGGACCAGGGCTACAGTGACATTGTTCTTCTTACCACTGTGCTGATGCACGATGCTGTGGCGCTCCGTGAGGGCCTGGGCTTCCAGAAGACAGGCAGGTCCTTCTCCAACACAATAGCAAAACTACTGACTGTCTCTTCAGTTCATTTCAGGCACCCACTCCCTTTATTTTAGCTCAGGAATATTTCCTTATGCATCTGTCAGCCTCCAGTTCACTGGGCTATCACAAGCAAAGCCTAATGTTGCAGTGGATCATAAAGACCTATATGTGATGCTCATTGGAATCCTGTGTGTTCGATGGTGGGTAATGGAGTGCTCCATTTCCTCCAAACCCAACTTCCTATAGAGGGCTGTCAGTGACCACTGACACAGAGGGCTAGTTTTGTCGTCTGATCAGCATGTGTGGCCCATGCTGACACTAACCAGACCTAGTTCGTGAGCCAGCATGATTGAGTAGAGGTCATGTATGCAGTGTTTCTCTGGGTCCAGGAAGAGAATGTGAGACTAGACAGAGTCCTAGGTTTACTGCCCTTGGGAACCAAGGCTGGAGTGGTCTTAGTCCCAAGACTCGGAACTCCTGGAACTTAGGTGCTTCAGGGCATCCTTCAAGCTTCATGGATGAATTAAGACAGCTGTAGTCTGATGTTTTCAAGACTGTTTGCCACTTCATCTCTAGCCCTAACATACTAACATAGGTCTGACACCATCTCACGCTGGACATCACCGACCCAGGAGGACCCGCAGATCACAACTGTCGAGGTGTCCTCCTCATCCAGTCAGCTCTGGAACTACTGCCCATCCTTGGCATTGCGTTCTGCTCACAGCTGTCTTTGAGAGACCCAAAGGCAATTCTCTGCCAACCTGCAGACCAGTCTTGTCCCAGGCTCATATATCGCCATGGTGTCTTTTTGGCAAGACGTAAAATGACTCCAGACTAAAGTGACTTGTCTCCCAGGGACACCTGCCTCCCTCTGGAACTTCCACACAGACCAACACAAAATCTTCCTCCTTACTTGTTGGCATTTCCAGCGTTGGAAAGTGCTATGGGGGCTGTCAGGGGCAGAAGGGAGGGCTGTTGAATCGCATTAGGCAAGATAGTCTTGCTGGTGTGATAGTGTCATGGTTGCTATAGCTACAACCAACTACTTTCTGAATGGATTTAAGTATCACTCCATGGGGAAAATCAACAAAGTCTGACACTTCACATGGAGGCAAGACTAAGGCTGTCTCCCCTTCCCTACCCTTTCTGAGGAGTTTATGGGGGGAGGTGGAGGGAAGGAAGTGGGAACGGGGGTGACTATGTAAAATGAGAAAAGATTGTTTAAAAAAAAAGAAAAAAAGTATCACTCCATAGAGAGAGCCTGCGTTTGGTACAGTAAGGCAAAACTCTATGGCTAGGAGTATTTTCAGACCTTGCTGTGTTCCCACAGCCCCCTCTTAGACCCACCTTCCTCTTTCAGGCACTAACCAGACCTAGTTATCTTCCCCTTCCCCCCATACCTCTCTAACGCACAACAGTCCAGCGCTTTTCTCCTGCTTACCCACAAGGCTACGGCTATGTAGATATCTGTGACTGTTGATCTCTAGAGCAGTTTCTTCTCAAATGGAGCCCTTCAGACTGCTTTGTGAGTCAGGGAAGTACAAGAATTGCCCTTCCCTAGCCTCTACTGCTCCAATTGCCCAGGCTCTCCTGATGCAGCAATTCCAGGAGACCTTCCAGGGGCCCGGGGAAGGACACACCCCAGGGAAGGACACAGAGGTGATTCCAGGTTGATGCTGTCCTTGTAATGTGCATGCAAAGCAGAAAAATGGCTTTTTCTCGCCTTAAAGAACACACATGGACTTCGGGTTCTGTGAACCTGTTCTAGTGTGCTTTTCTGCTACCGTGGTGAGAACGACCACAAAAACTGGGGGAAGTCGGGCCAGCAGCTCAAGGCAGGACCGATGGCTTGCTGACCCTCAGGAGAACTCACTCACAGCCAAGGAGGTACGGCAGGAACCCTAGGCGCTGCTGCTTGCTGACTGGCTCCTTGTGCTCAGGCAGTTTTCTTATCTAGCCAGGCCCGCCTACCCAGAGTTGGTGCTGTCCACGGTAGGCTCAGTCCTCCCTCATCAATCCTAAATGAAGACAGTTCCTCACAGATGTGCCCACAGAGCAGTCTGATCTGAGCAATACCTCAGCTGAGACTCCTTCAGAAGATGCAGCCAGGCTATGCCAAGTTGACCACTGAAACTGACGAGGCAGAACATCATGATGATGACGATGACGATGATGACGATGATGATGGAAAGGGTAATCAGGACAATGGAAACATCTCATTGTGAGGTTATGGGAGGCCTGAGCTCATGGTAAATGGTAACATGTGCAAACTCCAGCTTGTCGCTGGTGAGCCCCATTAGGGCCAGGGTCTCTGCTTTGGAGGAGACTTGAAACAATAGCGTCTTTGCCTCCAGATATCACACCAATGACAGAGTAAACAAACGACTCCCCTAGTCTATCTTGATCAGGCAATGAGCTCATCAGAGTTGCTTAGAGCAGCTCAGGGATGAGTTGCTTACATCACTGTGGGAGACTCGGCTTGTGTCACCGGAAGCCCCCCGCCCCACATGGTAATGACTATGGAGGCTGCACCACCGGGTTCTTTGGACAACCTGTGAGAAGCTGTGTCATTAAAGTGTTCCTAACCACTGAAGAGTCTAGGCATAAGAAAATAAAAATGTAGATTCCAAAAATAAGAATGTAAAAATAAAAAAATATAAAGTTATAAGTCTAGGAGAATGAGAACAGACTACCAGCAGCTTTCTCAGTGAGTTATTTTCTGAGATGCTTCGGAAGCGTAGGTCATTTTACAACTGGCTGTTTTATTTACAAGGCCAGAGTGTCTCTCTACAAATTGAGAGCAGTGTCCTGACCATCCTTGATAAACGACAGATGTGAACTGAGTTAACCTTTAGGAGACAGAGATATGTGACCTCTGGGTCAGACACTGTCTCTGTTATGGGAAACTGGCCACACCAGAGGAGAGGCATAAGACCCCAGTTTACACCCGGAGGTACCAGGAGACAGTGGATAAATACAAAGGTTTAATTAATGAGCTCTGATAATGGAGGTTGTAAAGTATGGCAGTCAGTATCTGAAGATTTACCTGGAAACAGTGTGAAAGGCTTTTCTTCTAAATTCTCAGCCCAAGAACCAGTTAATCCTAATTTATTAACCTTCTAGTATTACAACCAGCCCCTTTTCTGACTAATTGCTAAAGATATCTGTTTTCTCGCAATTAGTGACTTTCGTTGTAGTCTCCCCTGAAACATATTTCATGATGGCTGCCTAATTGCCCATTGACATTAGCACTGACTCCCCTCTTTAGGGTCTCTGCTGACCAACCCAAGGGTCAGGGCAAGGTTGTAAAACTTCTCTTGTTCAGAGATAATGCCTGGTGCCCCTACTATAAAAAGTGGGTTCAGAAACCGGCCTTTTGCCACAGCCTAACAAACGCCATCTCTGGCTGTGGTCTCAGCTAGCTGATAAGCTTCTGTGCCCCGCGGTCTTTTATTTTTATTTTTTTATTTTTAAGTTTGCTTCTGGTTATCCTAGGATCTGGTTTCTGGAATAAAGTTTGCTTCTGGTTTATTAGACTTGGTGGTGTTCTCATCTTTGCGCGACCCCCCTGAACCCAAAAACCACAAGTAATCGTTAACTGCTTATGCAACCCTGGGGAGGGAACTCTTGGGACTTTAGCTTTCTTGAGAGTTCCATAAATGTCTCTTTCACTCCAGCAAGAGAATGTTTTAATCTGGAGTAAATAATTACACAACATTCCACCTCTTCCTCCAGTTCGTACATCCACACAGCTCTCGCAATGTTCCCTGAGCCATGGACCTGGGCTGTTGTTTTTGTAAAACAAGAGGTCATTAAAATGCAAGTCTTGATGCAGAAATCTTTTTCAAGGGAAGCTGCTGTTCTAAACTCAACCACTGCTTGGAACGAACTGTGCTATTCACAATTGTCCCGTTAAAGGTTTCCTCTTGGCATTAGCAGCTTAGCAAATACCCAAGTCCTACAGGAAGCAAAAAAGCTGAACTAGAAAGATGGGGGTGGATTAGAAAGAGTCAGAGGTTCCAACTGTGCACGAGAAGCCTTTGTGGGCCTTTTAAAAAAATCCATGGTGCTGGGCCATGGTGGGGGGCACATGCCTTTAAACTCAGCACTCGGGAGGCAGAGGCAGGCAAATCTCTGTGAGTTCGAGGCCTAAGACTGGGCTTCTCTGTGTAGCCTGGATGTCCAGGTACTCACTATGTAGACCAGGCTGGCCTCAAACACAGATTCACCTAAAGTGTGCAGCACTACACCCAGTCAAGTAGGCCAAGCATTGCTAAATCTTAAGGTAAAAGCAGCATTGAAAGTGTTCTTCAGATTCCTGCTGTACTCATAGACTGGAGCCTAGCCCCGTCATCATCAGAGAGCCTTCTTCCAGCAACGCATGGAACAGATGCAGAGACCCACAGCCAAACATTAGATGGTGTCTCGGAAGGGGGGAGGAAGGATTGTAAGAGCCAGAACACGACAAGAACATGACCCACAGAATCAGCTAAGCAGGGCTCATAGAAGCTTGTGGAGACTGAAGCGACACTCAGGGAGCCTGTGTGGGCCTGAACTCGACCTTCTGTGTACGTTATGGTTGTGTTGCTTGGTGTTCCTGTGGGACTCCTCACACGGGGAGTGGGGTATCTCTGACTGTTTTGCCTG